GTCAAGGCAAGAATGGAAACATTCATTATCTACTTCTCCAATACAACACATCTCTCATAGTTCTGTCAATGGCAACCCCCGTGCAGCAGGAATCCTTTTTTTTATCTTTCATTCTCACAAGACAACTGTGCCTGCATTTTCTTTGAGATTTAGAAGCTTTTAAAATTCTTCTTTAAATGCAAACAGCCAGTAAAGCTACCACCAGTGAGTCTCTGAAGTCTGATAACAAGGGAAAATATCAAGCCAACTGTTATTACAAGGAGTGTTACATTAAAACAGCAACTTGCATGCCTGTCCTTCAAAAGATCTTAGCTGCCTCTGCTGGTCTTCTGTTTTAGACAGCTGTTGCAGTTCTGTGCACTTCTATTAAATATCTTATTTCCACATGTTATTCAGTCAGCAGTGACCTTTATAATAAACCTCTTAAAATGAGAAATGTATCTCATATTGAAATTACAAAGCTGTTATTCGTAACACTTCATTTCTTGTGCTGAGGGACTTTTAAAGGGGCAAACCACTGCTCAGACAGTTAGATAAAGCAGGCAGGACAAGACTTTCAGAAAGAAAATGAGGAATAGTTTCCCAGAGGGTATGAAAGACTGTTTATTTTTATTCAGCGTAAAGAAAGAATGTAGGTATTCAATGTTTTGATTTCCTAGATAAAAAGACTGTTCCCATTCATCTGAAAGAAAAAGGAGTCTGTCACATAATAATGTGGCATTATATTACCATCTGTGGTTCAATTTTGAAGTGATGCCTCTGCACAATGAATTGATATGACTGGTTAAATGATTCTGGTGTCTTGGTGGGGCTGAGGAGAAGAAGCACGGTAGAGGCAGCAGACAGAAAAATGCTTCAGGGATGTTGCAAGACTTTCTCTTCAAGTTTCAAAACAGTTTCCATTTAACTTGGTTCATCGACCAATTGAAATGTTTTAATATTCTGTATGCTTCTTTTCTATTATTAAAAAAAAACTTCGCAATTTGGCATTCTTAAGCAAATGAGTTGTCGGGGTTGCTGCCAAATTTATCTAAAATTAAAATGAATGTTCCATTATTTGCTGAGGGCATTTAGTAACTACAGAATGTCCTGGAAAGGAACAGATTAGGGCTGTGCCCCCAGCTTTCAACAACCCATGGCACAATCATGTCCCTGACAATATTTATTTCGTTCCTTGCCCTCATGGCACTACCTTAATTTTATCCCCAACCCAAGAGTGAGACAGCCTGGGTAGCTATCCCATATTAATGTAGTGTTCTCCACACATACATTCCAACACCCTCCAATGACAGACCCACAAAGTACTATATATAAAATAGTTAAGCTTTGTTACTTGCTAACTTGGAGAAGAGTCAGATGACTGCCAGGGGCTTGGAACTTGCAAGAGACAAGATGCACTCCCCCAGTGCACCCAGGGCTGGTGCACAATCTGGGGTTTCTCTTGGACTCATGGCTCCTGCTCAAAGAAAAACAAGTACTTCTTGCGCTCCGGTTTATTTATTTATTTATTAATCAAATTTATATGTTGTTTATAAAGTTGTGGCCTTTCTTAGACTGGGAGGCACTGCTCATAGTCATTGATGCCTTAGTTACCTCACAATTAGACTACACAACATACTCTACATGGGGATGCCCTTGAAGATATTCAGAAGCTGCAGCTGATCCAGAATGAGCGGTGGAGGCAATAGTGGGCAGACCACAATATGTCCACGTACACCAATGCTACATGATCCACACTGGCTCAAAATAGGCCTCTGGGTGCAATTCAAGTTGTTGGTTGTCACCTTTAAAGCCCTACATGGTATGGGCCAGATTATTTGCAAGACCACCTATCCTCGATGATTTCTGCCCGTCCCATTAGATCTGGTACAGTAGGTTCTTCAGGTCCCCCCTGTGAAACAGTGCCACCTAGCAGAGTGTTGAAAGCATGCTTTTTCTGTGAAGGTGTCTACCATGTGGACCAGACTCTTCCCCAGAGTTAGGGATGGCCCTTTTGACCTTCAGGAAAGCAATGATGACCTGGCTTTCCCCCCAGGCAATGGAGCCAGGATGTTGATGGAGCTGGCATGGTGTGGTTGATCTATGGATGCAAACATTATCTGGGATTCAATGTTGGTTTTTGTTTTAATATTTTTCCTAATTATATTGTGATTTTGTTCTTGTTTGCTGCCCAAAGTTCCTTCTGGTAGATGGGCAGCTGTATAAGTTTGATTGATTAATAACTAAAAACATAGAGTTAGAAGGGACCTTTGAGGTCTTCTAGTCCAACCCATGCCCAGTACAGGAATCCTCATACTACCCTGGGTGAATGGTTATCCATATTTTCTTGAAACTTCCAGGGAGGGAGCACCCACAACTTCAGAAGGCAGGCTGTTCCATTGCTTAATAGCTCTCACAGTCAAGAAATGCCTCCTTATTTCAAGTTTAGATCCCTTGCCGTAAAGCTGTAATAAATATAAAAGACAGACATTGACAATGGTAACAGCAAAGTTCTGAAACTCAGAGGTATAAAGGTAGTGCTGTTACCTAATAATAAAGAAAGACCCTACATATTAAAGATACAACATAAAGTTCCAGATCAAGGCTAGGATGTACAGTAGCTTGACTTCTCTATTCTTCTCTATTCCCAACACTGAGGTCATGTGCATATGCATGCATATATGCAGACCCTCAGATAAATGTCATACATCATAAAATTGCAAAATCTTTTTTTTTTTTTTTTAATACCC